CATGAGTTCATGTAAGCTGAGTCTTGGCCGCATGTTTGCCCATACATACTTACATACATGCATACATACAGACATCCATTCATGCATGCATTCATACATACATAAACAAATAACCAAACGCATAAATAAATAAATGAATATATATGTATATATACATATATACATATACATAAGTATAAATAAATAAATAACTAAATAAATAAATAAGTAAATAAATAAATAAATAAGGTGGGTAGGTGGGTAGGTAGGCAGGCAGGCAGGTAGGTAGGCAGGTATGTAAAGGTGTGTACGTATATAGCTTGGTGTTTCGGTAAGTACGTAAGTGTTGCAATCTTTTTGAGGGTGCCCTGGGCTGCTGTGCCGACGAGGCCACGGGCGACAAAGTGACAGGCAGGACGCTGGCGATCAGCGAAAGGACCACCTGGCAGGAACTCTTCTCTCATTCTTCGGGTTTAGGGTTAGGTTTTGGCTTTATGGTTTTGGGTTTAGTTTATGGCTTAGACGCACAGAAAGGCTCCTTTCAGGTTTGTGGGTGATTATGGATTTTATTGGAACTATGGAATTTATTGAATTTGTTCGCTTTCGCTTCTTGTGGCTCGAAACCGTGTACACCATGCGTGTCCTACCATGACCTTGGTCCACAGAAAAGCCTGCATGTGCGCTTGAGCCGTCCAGGAGCCCTCCAGACCATGTGAACCTAGTGATCTAATGGTCACATTTCCGGCTAGCATTGCGGGTCTGTAAACCCCTCCCCCGGCCCCCCAATGCAGGCCTTACGCATCAGCCGCTCCACCTGGCGGTCATGGCAGCTTACTTGCGGGCACTTCACCGATTGTTTTACCCCGAGACAAAAAACGAAGTGCCAAAGAGAGGAACAAACACATTCGAGCTGCAAAAACTCTAAAGCCTTAAACCCGCACCCAACACCCCGAAGCCCCAAACTATCATACAGTCCTAGTAAAAACCTTGTGGTAACCGGGAACCCTTTAACCCTTTAAAGGAAGCGCTCTGCAGGCTACGACTATGATGATCGACCCGACAAGACAAGCTGGCCTCCCAAATGGCACACTCAGGTCGGTATGCCTGGCAGAGCTCTGGGGTTTAGGGTTTAGGCGTTTAATGTAAGGGTGTTAGGGTTGTAGGTTTTTGGGATTTTTAGGTTTAGGTTTAGGACTCCGGTCAACCTGCCTGAATCAAATAGGCCACGTGCGGTCGTGTCTCCTCCGGCGATCGGGTTCTGACCTGTTGCGGCTTCGGGTTTTAGGGCTTACGGGTTCAATGCTTACAGGGTTTAAGGCAACTGAGCTTCGACTGTTCGTCGGCTCTACGCTGCTCTGCTTCGAAAGGCGGCTGAACAGTGAATGTGTATCTCTGGCGACCGTCGGCGACCAAGGCACGGTGTAGATCCAGCTGCACACGCTCAGCGCGGAGAAGCCCACGATGGCACCCAGCACTGCTGCGATCCGCAGCTCAACGTGGGAACTCATCTGCGGCCCGGGGGGAAGGAAATCCAGATGCAGCGCCTGAAGCGTGCGAGCTCTTACCTCAACCGGAACCCTTAACCCTAAACCGTATATAACCTAAACCTCAAAACGAGTACCCCAACGCGAAGGCCAACAAGGCATGCGAGGGCCTCGTTTTCAAGATCTGATTCAGGCCGCAGCCGGAAGGCCACGAGGTACCTAAGCCGTGCGACGTTATAGAACCTTATAAACCCGAAACACCTATAGAAACTATCTATGACCCAGAACCAACTAAAACCTAAAACACGGCTTTCAAATGTTAAAACTTTGCAAGGGCCGCCAAGGCACTTTCCGAATCCGGCGATGAAGGCTGGCAGGAACACGTTGCTTCCAACCACCGCCGCAAGCCAGCCGCCCTTCAACACGGCGAGACCTGCCTCGGGTGGGTGAAAGACGCGCTGAAATTCGGAGCCCCTTCGGTTCGCCCTGGTCCAGGAATGACTGACTGAAAGATTTACGCCATCCACTCAATGCGGCTGAGGGTGCCACAAGCAGCGCTGGCCAGAGGGACATGAGCATATGGACGTCGTGGATGCCGCTGTCCATGTTAAGCAGCTGAAGCAGGCACTGGCCTGACATGCTGCCGCTGCCGCCATCGCCAGAGCCTTGACCTTGGGCGAGGGATGCCGGCAGAGCCAACATCTGTAGGGCATCCTGCGACGGCGAGCCATGAGAGGCTAAGAGAAAACTTGTGAACAAAAGCAGGGACATAAGGGTGCCAGCACGAGAAAGCGGT